AACAAATGTACAAATGTGCTTGACACACAATGGATGGATGTATGGATTGTGACAAGAGTTGTATGAGACTCCAATAAAATGCTTTTTTTAAAAATGGTGGTACTAACAAGGTACATGTTGATTAAAGGAAAAATTCATGTTTTTAAAATAAATTATGGCCTGGACTCTCCACTACTTACTCTTACATTGTGGTCTCCTAACACCACTCACAACAATTCTATGATTTTAGAAAGTAGCATGCCATTTCAAATTGCTTTATAAGATGCATAGGAAAGCAACTTATTTAAAATGAGAGAACTGCTGAAGTCCCTAACATCAACTGATCACTCAACAAAGACTTTCCCAGTGGCCTAACTGCAAAGTGCCTTACTTTGCCAACCACTCCGCGGCAGCCTTGTTGTCCGCAGCCTGGTGCTTACTGAGTGTATCTGTGAGCTCCTCTCTCTTCAGTCTGGCATAAGGGTGCTTCGGACAGTGGCGATTTGCATGGGTGAATCTGCTTAGGCAGCCTTCAAAACACAGAGGGAAACACGTATCAGAATCTGTACATCAACAAATAGACCTGGAAAAATGCTGTTTCTCTTCTAACTAAGAAAAGTAAATTAATATCATGAGGTTTAGCATTCTATCATTTGAAGACACGCAAACCCCTACAGATAGTATTATAATGAGGGAAATAAATGTAAGATCGGTCGTTCCTGTCTTGGAAATGTGCCATCAGGTGAACTTGTCCAATACCCCTGGAAAGTGCTATGACAGGAGTCAAAAAGAGATTGAAGACTTTTGAACCAGTAATTCCTTTATTGGAATCTACTGTAAGGAAATATCCTCAACGATGAACAAATTAAATAATATCTAACATCAATTATGGGCATATGCTTAAGCAAAGCCACTAGATAAAATAATTCACAGATGTCCCTAATATTTGTAACAATTAAACTATACCTAAGAAGTTCAAGTATAACTATGTAAAAATGTTTATATGAAAAATTCCTGATTAAGAAAATTGTTACTGGTACAGATAGGAACTGGAAACAGGGAATCCAGGATGGATGATCCCTTCAGGACCAGTGCTGAGAGTGGCGACACCGGGAGGGTGGAGGGAGGGTGGGGTAGAAAGGGGGAACCGATTACAAGGATCTACATATGACCTCCTCCCTGGGGGACAGACTAGAGGATGTACACTGGTACAGACAGCAACTGGAAACAGGGAATCCAGGATGGATGATCCCTTCAGGACCAGTGCTGAGAGTGGCGACACCGGGAGGGTGGAGGGAAGGTAGGGTAGAAAGGAGGAACCCATTACAAGGATCTACATATGACCTCCTCCCTGGGGGACAGACAATACAAAAGTGGGTGAAGGAAGACGTCGGACAGTGTAAGACATGACAAAATAATAATAATTTATAAATTTATCAAGAGTTCATGAGGGAGTGGGAGCAGGGAGGGAGGGAAAAAATGAGGAGCTGATACCAAGGGCTCAAGCGGAAAGCAAATGTTTTGAAAATAATGAGGGCAACAAATGAACAAATGTGCTTGACACAAAAGATGAATGGGTGGATTGTGAGAAGTTATATGTGCTCCCAATAAAATGATTTAAAAAAATAAAATAAAATAATTTTTTTAAATGTTAAAATCTTACATTACCCCTACTCATGGGGGGTTGATTAGTGGTTTAAACTTTTAAATACGAAGTTGACGATCTCAAATATAAACCCCCACCTAATTTAATTTACAATGAAAACTGGCTTAAATTTTGTTTTCATTCCCTTCATATTTTAGTGAAGATTTAGAAGACAATGTGCTTACTTGGAGAGTGAAAAAGTTTAAAACCAACCTAAAAGGCCACTCTAAAGGCTGTACTTACTTTTGTCTACTATTCTACTGCCTACAACTGGGCATAGTAGGCTTATTGGCTCTTTAGTATTTTTATTCTAAAGAAGTTCAACATGGATTATAATTAACAAGCAAAGTAGGTTATGTTTCATACGTCTGAAAGGAAAATCTCTCCCCATAAAAATGCAAGCAAAGGTATTTCAATTTTAACTCACAACTAGTTAATCCATAAACTTAACTTTAAACTCCATACCATTTTCTGAGCAAACAAAAGGTTTTTCTCCAGTGTGAAGACGCTGATGTGTTTTAAGCTGTCCACTTTGAACAAAGGCTTTTCCACAGTCTGGGTAGTCACACATATATGGTCTCTCACCTATGTATATAGATGTTATATGTTATTTCTGAGAGAATAAGGTGAGAAGAGGAAGGAAGGAGAGAGAATCAACCTTTTTATGAGTTATGTCCCAAACAACAACATAGTACATGTCAGACTGCAGAGCTGCACGTTGGAAATACTAACAAAAACACTTTGGTGTCACACAGCTTGCAGCTCAGAAGCACAGGACTATTGCCTTTAGGCCTTGAGCTTTTCCTTCAGAATAAAATTTTTGAAGTTAGTGTCTTCAGCGTATCCTATCTTTTTGAAAAATCCTCCATAATCTGAATCACTAGCTTTTACTGACTCTTAAAAATGTCTCCCACTACTGTTTTCCAACTGCCAGCTTTCCTGGTAAAGATGGGCAGTCCCTCCCACCTGGAATACACCCTCTGACAGTGCCCCGCTGGCCTCTGGTCTCCCCTCTGCAGGATGCCTCGGGAGCAGCTGGCGTGGAGCTGTTTTTGTTCTAACAACTGAGCCTCTAAAAACCCCAAAGCCTACTACACTGTGCTCCAGAGCACAGTGACCAAGGCCTGCCACCTAGTGGGTGGGCAGTAAAGCCAGCCCGAGGACTCAGGGCTCTCTTCATTATACCAAACATGCTTATCCACGCTGATAAGCATTCTAGAAGTACCCGCTCTTTAGGGTGTTTCAAAGAAGTTAGATTGGAAAAAAAATTTTTTAAGTCAAAATTGGATTCTCTCACACAGTAATAACTTAATTATTAGTACCTAAGTCAAAACTTCTAGTCATTTTAGCTCACAATGATTCAAAATTAAAACTACCAATTTTCAGGGACTTAGTTAAGAAAACTATTTTCTATCTTCAGAATATTATCTTTTTAAAAACTAAAAGAAAGCATAATCACAGTCGGAAAAATAGAGGCTTGAGTTCTAAGCCCAAATTCTAGATCAGTACTATCCAATAAAAATACAAATGCAGAGTACCCATATTTTAAAAATAAGTTAAAATAGGTGAATTTTAATAATAAATCTTCTTTAATATATCAAGTATTATCATTTCAACATGTATTCAATCTATAAAATGTATTACTGAAATAGTTTACTTTCTTTTCATACATGCTGCCCGTTCAATTTTGACTAGCTACTCTTCTGCGTGTTCAATAGCCCCATGTCTAGTTACTACTACAATGACAAGCACAGCTCAATACTAAAGGTAAAAGAAAGTGCAAGATAATGGTAATTGGTTTTCTGGGGCCTCTCCTTCCTTATCAGGAAATTATTGGGTGAACTTTAAGGTTCCTTCTTCTGGGGCCAGCTTTCTCTATAAAGACAATATAAATTCTTTAAAAACGTATTGTTTTCCTCTCTATATGGTAAAGTGCAAGTGTAATTTCTGTATACAAATTAAGATGTATGATAATCCTGACACAAAGTAGTTTGCCACAGATTTGCTCGTAAAGCCAAATACTAAGATGGCACTCTAGAAATCCTATTAAAAACTGAAAAATTACCATGTTAGTATTTGGCCTACACATGTGTTTCAACAATTACAGACATGACATAAGAGCATACAGGGAGGTAGAACGATGGAACTAGGTTGAGGCCTGTGATATGCCTGCTAATTACCATGGTAACTTTAGAAGTCGCGTGGAATCAATGCTCAGAACTTCTTCCCACCAAAACAGAAAATTACTACATAGTGCCTGTCTCTTAAAGCCTCATTACTAATAGTGGTAACCAAAGATATAGGGAGCTAAAAAATTAATTTATAGGCCAAAACATTGAATCAACTTTTAGTAAAATGTTGCTTCTGGCCTTCCCTCAAATTTGCTTACCTGTATGCGTCCTTTTGTGAGCCTGGAGTGATTTCTCCCGCGGAAACACCCGATTACAGATGTTACAACGGATTCTGCTAGATGAATGCTCTCCTTCATTTATTAAGTCTTGGACAGTATCTGCTCTGGGTCTCCCACGTCGGATTCCATCCTGTTAACAAGTTTTATAAGTATCAATTACTGTTTATCTCTCCACTCACTAAAACAAGGTATCATTAAAAAATTGTCTAAAAAAGCAGAATAGTTAGCTCCAATTGCTCACCTTTCTACAGAATCACCCCCAAATTGAGCAAAAACTATTAGAAGTACATCAGAATTCTGGAAAATGGTCAAGAGATTCACATCAAACAAGAAACAGGCAGTGGAAAATGGTTGGGAAAGCTTTGCCTTATTTTCATTTATCCTAGTTTCACTCCCCTCTTCAGCAGTCTTGAAGACAGCAGCTGTGTTCAGAGAGGGACCTTGCTCCCTGGATAGAGAGGGAGTAGAACATGCCTTATTGTGAAAATGCACACACACGCACACGTCAAATTTAGGGAGTTTGACATAGAAGGTCCCTGTTTTGGCCTGTCTGGGAGATATGGAAAGGACTGCCACAGGGTGCTTGTCTACATGGAAAAGTACTCACATAAGGAATTTCGTAAAAACCTCTTTAGGACAATGAACAGCCTGCTTCTACTTGGAGCCAAAGCTTTGCGGCAAACATTAGGCGCACTAAGTCTGAGAGAAAAAGCTAAGTAGAGAAATTCTCTGAAAAAAATGCGGGCAATGACAAGTGCCCACTTACAGGGAAGAATCTAGAAAGCTACACACGTGGAGGAAAGTACCTCAGAAAACACCTGAGAAGACGCTAAATTTACCTCTCTGGCTGATTTTTATTTCTACTCTCCACAAACAAGTAAGGGTTAAGGTAGATTTGTAAAGGGCCTCGCTATGCTATTCCTGGGAATGTGACCTTGTTTAGAAACATGTTCTTTCTTTGGTCATGCCAAAGTAGGGTGGGTCCTGACTCTACACAGTGGTAACTTACAGAAGGGGAAATCAGACACAGGATGATACCAGGGGAAGACTGATAACATGTGAGAAAACCCGAAAGTCCAGCAGCAATGACAAGAAAAGCTCAGGGCTACCAGGAACCAGAAGAAACAAGGAAGAATCTTCCCACAGAGCAAAGCCGGCCTGGCAATTCCAGCACCCTGAATTCGGACTCCCGACCTCCAGAATGCTAAGACACACATTGCGGTTCTTTAAAGCCACCAACCTCATGGTTTTGTGTTATGACAGCCCCAGCACAATGAGACAGGTTGGTACCAAGAAATAAAGTTGTCAAAAGAGATGGCTAAAGTATGAGAGTAGCTCTGGAATTAATTGGATACATTGGAAGAATGTGAGGTGCTTGATAGTAATAGATTGCAAAAAGGCAGTTGGTAGAACTATAGACATTAAAGATGATTCTGGTGAGGGCTCAGAAAGAAGGAAAGCTGTAGGGAAAGCATCTATCATCATGAATAGATTTTTGCTAGAAATGTGGGCATTGAATGTGCTTCTCAGAGGCCTTAAAAGAAAAATGATGAACATTTTATTATACATTGGAGGGAAAGCGATCTTTGTTATGAATTGTCATAAAACTTGGCTGCATTGGTTTGTGAAAATAGAACTTGTAAGTGATGGGACTTAGATAAACTAAGTCAAGTCTAGTTTCTCTTTGATGGTTATAATAAAATCCAAGAAGAAAAAATAAATAACTGAGGAGGTAATTATTATTCAAAAATTCAGAACTTGAAGATGTAGGAAATGCTCAGGCTATTTATACAGTAAAAACTGCTAAGACATATTCTGGGGGGAAAAACAAAAAAAAAAACAAGGGTGCCCCTAGCCAACCATTCGCTACAATGAACAGGCATGTACTATGGATCCAATAAATCTTATCAGGAGAAACATTGCCAGGATAGACTAAAGGGAACACAGAGGGTAAAATGAAGGACAGTTGTGCAATTCCTGGAATTCTAACATGCAGGAACCAAACTGGTGGAACTACTTGGCTATAAATATGCTATCCTTCAAGAAAAGAAAAGCATGATCCTAGGATCTGTTCCCACACCGGCTGAAATGCCACCATTTGGCATGGGTAGTGGGGGTGTAGGAGCATTTTCCTGCTTCTAGAAGCCAGGAACAACACTTAAGTGTCAAAGGACAGAGCCACCCCTTCAATTCCGATATAAAGATCTAAATCTTCCCAACAACTTAAAAACATTAACTAGAAAAACTTTAGGATAATAAGTTACTGCGAAATTCTGTTCACATTGCTAGAAAAACTCAATATATAGATTATAAATTATGTTTCTAAAAGTTAGATATTGGAATGCATGCCTAGTATAAGTTAATGGCCTGATGTCAATCTTATACTGTGAAATCAAATTAGCTGTGTACTTTTTTATTATTAATTTTATCCTGAACACCTACAGAAAGTTTTCAAAAATAAGCCCTTCTGTATTTTCATTTAGTCTTGAGGCATTAGGGATATAAGGAACAGGAAAACGTCTAGATGGTTACGAAGTGTACTTTATTTTTGTAGCACAAATTCACAGAGGACTAGTGGTTAGTAGATTAAGCACGAAGCTACTCACCACCAGTCACCCTCGATGAGAAAGATGAGGCAGTGTACTTCCTCAGGAGCACTCCTCTGTTCCTACGAGTTGCAATCGACTCAGTGGCAGTGGGTTTGGTTTTTGGTTTAGTATGAATTCTCATAGCAGCCCTGTTGAGACTGTTGAGTAAGTTTTAGACTGCTAACCACAAGGTTGGTGGTTCAAGCCCACCATCTGATCTGCTCTGTGGGAAAAAGATTTACAGCTTTGGAACTATACAGGGCTACTATGAGTTGGAATCAATTCAACAGCAGTGGGTTTATAAATTCTTATCATTATATTTCATTTATGTCTTACTTATTATTTATAGTATTATAAAATAATTCACTGTTCCTTTCTCTAGCTGGGTTTCAATGAGGCCAAGGCTGGCTTTGACCAATAGATGCGAGGAGAGGTGAAGTCCGCAACTTCTGAGCAAAAGCTATGAAGCCACCACCTGGGTCCAACTCTTCTCTTTTCCTGTCTGAGGCTCACATGTCCCAGATGGAGCAATGTTCCTTCTGCAGGCTGGGTTCTATAATAAAGAGGACCCAGAGCACATTTGCAGTCAACACTCTCTGGACATATCATATGCCCAATACATATGTTGCGATACACCATTTCAATTCTGAGGTTGCATTCTTCCGTAGCACATTTGTACCTATACTAATTCAAACACCTTATTAGTAAGTACTTGTTGAAAAAAAAATCTCACCAATTATTGAATACTGAGACTCCAAAAAGAGATCATTTCCCCCCAAAATTTATTTCAGTCCTAAAGACATTCCCATTCACAGTAAAACTAGGAATTGCTAAAATCTTGAATGATTCTCATTGTTTAAATCCAAATTAGCCATCAACTTGTGGCATTACAGGTGGAGACCAAATTCTTCACCTTCTGTCCTTGGCTTTGATCCGCACTAGCCACAATGAGCCCTGGTTTTTCATGCTAAATAAAAATAAAATTAGAGGATCAATTGCCATTATTTATTGAGTAAAAATAATTGCATATATGGCATAAGTTAGGGTTTCATATAATAAACTTTAAGTCTTGCCTTAAAATACAAAAATACTTATTTTTATCTACAACAATACATCTGAGGTCAATAAAAAGTTAATTCCACTTTGAAGGAAATGGATAGGGTACCTATTTTATGCAAATAACACACACTTTCTATGTTTGCTTCCTAGTTGCTCCCTCGGCCAAGAAGGTATTTTCTTAAGTGCCACAGACACCAATTTGTTGTTTTTAAGATTGTTGCTGTAAATATATACTTATATATAACATACAAAAATACCTTCAAGTGGAAGGAGTAGTTGGCAAACATATAAGACTGGTGTAAGTTAGGTAAAGATAACCGTCTACAATATCACCTGCCTCCTCTACCTTGATACCAGAAGAATCAGGTAGTGCCTGGCTGCCACTAATGAACGTTCTGATCAGGAACATGATCAGGCGAAATCCTGATAAAAAGTGAGAAGAATATAGAACTTAAAATTGCTCAAGAATCCTGATTCACGGTACCTGAGTCCAGAGGAGTCTCTGAGACTACAACGCTTTTCCTAATATGGTAAATATAGAAAAACAGAGTACCGACTCTATGTACATTTGAAATAACAGATTAGTATCAAAACTTTAAGGCTATTCATTACGATTTTCTCTCTGCTTCTGGCAACAAAAATATTTACAAGCATGTCTAATGGTAAAGAAGATTTTAAAACTTAATTGCCTCTCAGCAACTCTAAGATTGGCCTTGTTTCTGCTATAATCAATACATGTACAAAGAAGCAACAGTTGCTGAAAAGTAAATAAAATACAACACCCTGGCCACATACAGGTAAGTTTTCACTAAGTGCTTTCTTTCAATAGAGAAAATAAGGACAACTAATCATCTAATGCCCTAAAGAAAGAGCATCATCTTTTAACAAAGCATATAAACAAAAAAAGAAATGTTGCTTAAAAAGCATCCTTTTTCTTTTGCCTCAACAAAAGAGAAGAAGGTGAGAAGAGAGAAAGAAAACAACAAATCCATGGGTCTGGGTGAACCTGGGCAGTGAGAGATCAAATCATCAGCAAACACATGTATCAGTAGGCTGAGGGAAACAGCAGTCCAAGGAAAGAGAACAGTTTAAAATTCTGAAAGATCTTATTGCCGTTATGCAAAGATTGCTGCAGATTAAAGAGCAACATGACTCAGTTTGCAAAAAAACTTTTCCGTTTAAATTTTTATTAATTTTTTAAAAATAAAAACATAATCTTAGTGTTTCCAGGAGGTAGATTAGTGTCTTAAGTATTTCAATGGTATTTTGACTTTTCAATATCTTTAATAAAACTTGACTTAGCTCTCAAGGAGTCCTGGTGACATAGTGGCTACCTTTTGGGTAGCATGAGGTTGGAAGTTTGAAAGCCCTCTGACTCTCAGGAAGAAGATGAAGCTTCCTACTACCGCAGAGATTCAGTCTCAGAAACCCACAGGGCAGTTCTACCCTGTCATGTAAGGTCACCATGAGTCCGAATTGATTTGATAGCAGTGAATTTGTTTTTTGGTTCTCAAGCCACATAGAATTTTTACCTAGGCTTTTCAAATGTTTAGTCAAACTGAATATTCATGCAAAGACTGATAAACCTAAATATCCTTGACACATTGTTAAACAAAAAAACACAAGCTAGAATGAAAACAAAAACGTCTCCGATGGAAGTGTAGATGAGAAAAGATAATTAATGGGTCACTTTCCCATTTAGATTTAGATCAAAGTTTTGTAAGGCTCAAATATTTGTTTCCTAACTCTACTATCCACCTATTTTCACTATATTTCCCAAGACTTCCTTTCAGTTATGCATTATGTGTGCCCTTATAGGAGTTATAGGGCTACCTTGTTTCATAAGTTTACTTATAACAGCTTAATAATAAACAACAACAAAAGACCTAAAGTCAAATCACACATGGTTTATATACAGGAATACTATGGTATAAAGATTAAAAGCAAGACCTTGGAAGTTACAATCAATTCTACTTACTCTATGATCTTAACTTAATCTTGGGCCCTCTTTTATTCATTCTTCCTCATCTGGTATACAAGAACTAAATGAATTAAAGAATTCAAAACACTCAACAGAGCCTGACACTTTGCTACTAACTGCCCGGCATTAAGTAGTAGCTATTATATTAGCATGGCAGTGATCAAAAAGTACTTTGTCTGAAGTTTTCAGCCACTAAAAAGGGGAAGTAGGATATGTAGCTGACTAGTCCGTATGAGCGAGGGGTTAGCTGACGCTTAGCTCAAAGCTGCCAGACCACACAGGTCCACAGTAGAGAAGTCACCTCAGTACAGCAGTCTGGGGAGCAGGGTTCCCGTGGCTCAAGGTAGGGTGGTGTGGGATATCTTATGATGGAAGGAGTTAACCCTCCTCCTTTCCCTTGGAAAATAAAACAAAACCACCTCAAACTGAGACATAATAGTAATGTGATTTGTGATCAACTAAAAACAACAAAAAAACTCCCTGCCATTGCGACCATCAGAGGGTAAAGATGGATGTACTCCCCACAGGCAGGGGGCGGTAGTAGTAAACTGAGAACAAGCGAAGGCTCACACCCGGTATGCAAGGCACAGAGGCCACACCTCTCTGGGAATAGCTGCGATAAAGAGTTGGAAAATGAACACAAAGGCTCTCACAGCCATCACTTTTAGTGGCCCTAACTGACCACTGGAGGAACCCTGGTGGCATTGGGCTACTAACCACAAGATCAGCAGTTCAAAACTACCAGATGAAGCTTTCTGCCCCAGTAAAGAGTTACAGACTCAAAAGCACGCAGGGCAGTTCTACCCTGTCCTATAGGGTTAGTATGAGTTGGAATTGACTTGATGGCAGTGTTTGGTTTGGTAACAAGACGCTGGAAGAAATACACTGAAAGAATGAGGTGGGAAGTGGATGTTACTGATACTGGAATTACAAGCTTGTCTGTCATCTTCCCAATAAATGACCTGACTTAGCACTGTTCACCAATGATCCATATGCAGATAAAGAACTACATACTTGTGAGAAAGTAGCAAGGTAAATGGGATGGTAGTTTCTACCTTTAATCCAGTGTACTGACCACAAATCAAATGTGGTGGTAGCTTCCTTACCTAAAAAAAGCTATATTTCAGACCTTTCCCCTTAAAGGTGGAGAAACTAAAGGAATGAATTTTCAGTGCTATATTTGAGTTGCTAGTTCTATAAAAGAACAAATTAAAATCATTTTATTAAATTTACAAAACAACTATAACATTAAAGACTGTAGGAAGGAGAAAAAGAAATAAATATAAACGTTTTTTTTTCTTTGACTTGTTCTTCATAATTTCTGGTATAGTTTAACTCTCTAAACACAGGTAAGCAAAGTAAAAATAAAAATACATGGAATATACTAGTAACTTTTAAAAAAAGATTTGTGTGAAGGCATATCTGTTTTAGATGAAAAAGAACTTACTTAAAAACTTTTACCTGGTGGTTGGAACCCATCCAGTTACTACACAGGAAAACGACCTGGCACTCCTCCAAGATCTACTCTATCAGTTGGAATTGACATTAAATTGACAGCATATAACAACATGCTAACATTAATCTTCTTGGACAATACAAACTCATATAAAGGAATATATGAAAACTATATTAAGAATAGTCATAAATGCAGAATCTTCCACAAGCATGTGCTGAAATACACACACACACACACACACACACACACACACACAAAAGACTAAACAAAGTATCTTGAATACTCATCCACCTTAAGATGGAGCTACTCTAAATCCAGCTAACAATTATTCCTTTCACAAACTCTCACATCCTTACAAATACTTCTATTTGTTCTTTTCATTTTTATTGATATGATTTTGCACGTGTTGACATGTCAAAGCACAGTTAATTTCATAGTTCTTTACTAACAATACCGTCAGTAAAATAACTATCAATTTCCTCAGAGTTCAAACAGTCTGAACATATTGTCACAAGTGAAATACCTAAACTTGTTTCATTTCATAAACACAGTATCTGCCAACACAAAACCCTTCCCACTAGGCCGTTTACATGTTATATCTTTAGTAAACTGCTAATCCTATCTGTCTGCTTAAACAAAATCTGGATCGAACAACCCATTGCCGTGGAGTCAATCCCAACTCTTAGCAAGCCTATAGGCCAGTGAACTGCTTCATAGTGGCCATATAAATCTTCACAGAAGTACATTGCCATATCCATCGCTTACAAAGCAGCTGCCGTTTCCAAGCACTTCCAGCTAGGTAGTCTTAAAGTCTTCACTCATCTCACTATTATTGAGCCCTTTGCATTTACAAAATATTAAGGCATTAAACTTGAATCGCCCACTACCAAATAGATATATACCTGGCCCTCCTGGGGCTTAGAGGTAACAGAGCTAAGTATAAGTCTTCAGGGACGTAACCCGAACACATACATCAGTGGGCCTTTCGTTTGCTGACCAGTTCATCTTGGACTCTTGGCGCCCCATGTAACAGAGTAAAACTGGCCCATGGGGTTTTCTGTGCTGTAATCTTTATCAGAGCTGGGAGGTGTCGCAGGTTAGTAGCCCAGAGCTTACCCCTCGAGCCACCAGGGCCCTTTACAGTGAGACTAGAAGCCACAAAACCAACCTCAGCACTCCCACCTAGCTATGTAGTTCCTTTAAGGCTCAGTTGCCCGATCTGTAAAATGTAGTTTTGAACCAGGTGATCACATTCGTGATCATACGTACACATGCGTGATCGTGCGTACACAGTCTGAGGCTCCACGCAAGGGGAGGTCAGTGACAGAAAGCATCGCTTTCCCGTGTGTTCTCAGCACCTAGCAAGTAGTACCCGGATCAGTGAAATTCAGCTAGGACCCAAGTTGCACCGGGAAGGGCTCCCGGATCCCCTTCCTGCCCTCCAGCTCAGTCTGCAGGTCATCTTCAGCCAGGCCCGGTGGAAAGAGGCTGTGACAGTGCAAGAAGTGGCCACCACCCTCCCCTGCCCGCTCGCAGCGACACGGCTCAGGCCCGCAGGCCCTTCCTTCCTTCTGCTTAGCCGCTGGCTGAGCAGCTGACAGCGGCCGCTGACCCGGTCTCCTCTCCTTCCACAGACTACGCCGCACCCAGTACACCCGCTGGACAAGCTGGGCGGACGCCTGGAGGTTTTCCCTGCCCAACCCTGGTCGGGGCCACGTGACCGCCACCCCGCGCCCGCCCACCCCACGCGGGGTGGGGGTGGGCGCTGCTTTTTGGCGCGCGGCAGTGACGTCAGCGTCCAGTCAGTGGCCACGGCCTCACCAGCGGCCAGCGCCACCTCGCGTTTCAAACTTGGCCCCGCCCCTGCCGCCCGCGGAGTCCCAGGCACTGCCATCTCAGGGACGCGCCGTTAACGGGCTCTCGGCTGGCCCGCGCTGCTCCCGATCAGCACACCCGCCCGCCTGCGCCGGTCACCTTGAGGTGGCCGCTGTCAGGACTGCTCGCTTCCTCTTCCTCTTCGCCCCCCGAGGCACCAGGCGGGGGCGCGCCTCGGCCCCGAAGTCCCGGGTGCTCGGCGGCGGCGGCCGACGAAGAGGTGGCGGCAGCACCCCCCGAAGCCCCCGGGCTGAGCGTCACGTTGTGCGCGTTCTCGCCCCAGCGCCACGGATACACCATGAAGTCGCTGAAGCCGGGGCTGGTGGGGATGAGCGGTGGCGGCGGCTCAGGCTCCCGGCCGCTGCCGCACGCGGGCTTGATCGGGGTCGTCCGGATGACCGACACAAGGACCCGCTTCGGGGAGTCTTGGCAGAAGACGACGGGCGGCGGCTGCGGGGAGCTCTCGGCCATCGCCGCCTCCAGGCCCCGGATCATCTTCCCGGCCCTGATCCGCTGCTGCGGCCAGCAGCCCGGGGCCGCACTCAAGTCCAAGTCCGGCTCCTGCTCCGCAAGCTCGCGCGGCTCCGAGGCGCTGGCTCTCAGTCCCGCCGGCTCATGGCTAGCGGACGTTCCCGGAGTCCTGCGCAGTGACCACCAAAGGAGCTTAGCGGGGCGCCTCGGCCGGCACCGAGCGGGCAGGGCAGGACCCCAGCGCCCGGTCAAGCCCACCTTCTTCTGCTCTTTGGACCCTGGAACGCAGCTGCAGCTTTGGGAAAGACCCGGCACCGGGGTCCTGACGGGGTTGGGAAAGCGGGGCGTTCCGCGCCGAGCCCCCGAAAATAACAACCTGCCGCCGCGGTCCCCACTAGGCTTTTCCCGCGTTACATTTCGCGCCTGGGCGGAACCAATCACCGGGAGGCCCCTGCCTGCTGGCCGCAGCGGCGACTGACAAGCCGCGCGAGCCAATGGTCGGGCCTGGACGCCTTTCTAGCGCAGCCGGGCGGAGTCCGGCGGGCGCGCGGGTCCTTGCTGCCACGCTATTGGCTTCCGCTCTTCATTTTTTTTCTCCTTGGAGGGCCAACTGCGTTCGAAACTTTGAGGGGAGCGCGCGACGTCGACAGTAGCCCAGACACACCCGCCAGAAGCCCCTCCCACCGCTGCGCTGTTTGTTGGGGTTGAGGCGAGCGGGGACGCGGCTCGTCCGGAGAGGCGCGCTGATTTGAGACTCCGGGCAGGAGGCGGGGCCTGCCGAGGGCGGTCGTTGGTGGGCCGTAGCGCGGGCCCTTCTGGCTCCGCCCCGTCCACCTGCGGCTGTTGGTGTGCGGTTCCCGCGCACCCAGAGTTTAAAGGGCTGGGGAGGAGGGTCCAGATTGTACGCCCAGCTCTCGTCCCGCCACCTAGGCTGGGCCCCAAGGTCTCTTGAAAAAGTTCCGGTGGGAATTCCCCGGAGGTTCCTATTGTCTTAATGGACCTCTGCATGCGCGGCTATTTCTTTTGCTGTGAATTGAACTTGTGCGAGACTTCCTTTCCCCTGCCGCGCCCCGTCTGATTCTCCCGATGGTGGAGATTGTCCCCGAAGGTAGGCATGGTCGCAACCATAGCTAAACTGGGCAGCATTTTCCGGCAGCTAAAAAGCGATCTCCGAGGCCCTACGGTGCAGCTTTGACACCCAGCACCCATCCCTGTAAGTCACCTGTAAAACCACACCCGCCCACCCTGCCCGCAGCGGATCTGGGTCCGGAAGGGTGCTCAGACCACCCAGAGCCCGCCCTTCCTAACCTGCCCCATCCCTGGCCACATTTCCCACTCCACCTTCCCGGCCCGGCCTTCCCAGGCCTGTGAGGCCACCTAAGCTCTTGCAGCCTTTGTGGGCCAGCCCTTGCCAAGGCAGCGGGGAGGGATAATCCGAGTCCGGCCAGGGTCTCTGAAAATCTGGAGAGCACATGTCTAAGGCAAAATGGAATGTCCAGGCACATACTGGAATGTGAAAGGACTGTCAGTTTAGTTCTTTGTTGTGTTTCCGGGACCTAACCGAGCTCACAGGGGGCCCTGGTGGCGCAGTCAACTGAGCACTGCGCTGTTAAAAATGTCGGCAGTTCAAACCCACCAGCTGCCACTCTGGAAAAAGATAAGACAGTGCAATCAGCTGCCTTAAAGATTACAGCTTTGGAAGCCCTGTGTGGCAGTTCTACTACATGTGATTGGGTCATTATTAGTTGGAATCCACTGAATGACCTGTCTCATACTGGCTGTTCAATAAATCATGAATATTCTGTAGACAAACTTGAAATTGATAATTGACATGAAAGCCAGCATAACATGCTTTACACAAACGTATAAGAGGGTACCCCCCAAAAAAGGGAATAAAAGCTCTGCTGGGTGGAGTTTCCATAGTAAACATTTTCCTGCTAGGCCATCATTGAGCAACTTGCTCTGAGTTACCAGTGGCATCGCCTGGCAAGGTTCTCTGTGGTCACGGAATTTTTTCCTGAAAGCAGTTTTGCTCGAACCTTTATGTGATGGCTGATTTAGGAGAACAGTGTGCGGCTGTTAAACTTTGTTTCTTGCTGGGGAAAAAATGCTACAGAAACTGTTGTGATGCTGAACACAGCTTTCAAGGACAGCAATGTGGGAAAAACTCGTGTTTTTTTTTCATTTCAAAAGTAAAATGTTGATTGATGACAAACCTTGCTCTGGATGTCCATCAACTTCCCGAATGGACTAACATTTGTAGTGCATTTGGAGTTCATTCCACCAGGTCAGACTGTTAATCAAGCTTTCTATTTAGAGGTTCTGAAAATATTGTGTAGCAGTGTACGACAAAAAAGGCCTGTGGTAGACAGGGGGCTGGTTTTGCCACCACGACAATGCACCTGCTCACACAGCCATCTCAGTGTGCCAGTTTTTGGCAAAAAGCAGCATGCCTCTCTTAACCCACACACCTTACTCACCTGACCCTGCTCCATGTAACTTTTTTTGTTTCCATGAATAAAGGACATGAAAGGACAGTGATTTGGCAATGTAGAAGAGGTGAAGGAAAAAAAACGGAACTGCTGTCAGTCATTCAAACAGAGAATTTGAAAATATGTTTCAAGAGAATGGAACCACAGATTTGACAAACATTGCGTGTGATGGAGATTACTTTGAAGGTGATAAAGTTGTTTTGTAAAATTTAAATACATAGCTTTGAGGGGGAAATTCCAGTTTTGGGGGGTACCCCCTCATATACAAACACAGGTACATCTATTAAAATAACCACAATTGTTGAAAAGAATTTTTTTAAGAAACTCGACATAGTGATACACTATTAACACTAAGATGTATTTTAAATGGGAAAATTTAATGCAAAACACAAACAGTATGATTATATTCATTTTTAAAGTGGAATAAGAATACAAATATACATTGTTGCCTTTAGACATGCAAAATGCCACTGGCAAGATACATGTCAAAGGCAGCTAGAGTCTTTATGACATCCCAAACAGCCTTACCTGATCTATTCCACCGGTCATGTCAAGGTCAGCTAGAGGTGATGTTCAGATAACCTAAAGACTAACAACACCTCCACATGCTAATGAAGTGCATAAACTGTAGATTACGAGACCAACCATTATTGTGGAATAAGGACCAATCAGGATGCAAGAATAAGGACAAATGGGAAAGCAGGATAGGGGCTGGCTGAGGTGAGCCAACTGTCCTGCCACTGAACCCATATGAAATTCATTGTCAAACCCAGCGATGTCCCACTTCCTCAAACTGTGAGGCAACCTGCTGTGTGTGAAGCATACTTTTACTTTGCTTATTAAATCTTTGCTGCACTGATTGTCTTGGCTTGCTGTCTTGCTTGTGTGACTCCCTCTGTTGTGGTGGCAAACCACTCAGAAGAAACTTGCTAGGTTGTCGCAGAGGAAGAAAAGTCAGATGACATCAACTTTTAACACATAAGAAATGATATATGTTTACATAAGTTGACACCAAGGACGATAATTATGTGGCTGGGGAACAGATGTGAAAGTTTCAAAAGGTATAACATCTGTATCCTTTAAGTTTCAGACCAAGCCCAAGTGGATGTACCTTTTAAGTAAGTAAATAAATACAAACATACACACAGATTATATATATAATATATATATCTACCATTTCCTGGGATCCAATTAGACATAGGGCGTGTACAAGGCTAGATAACCCATCTGTTTTATACTTCAAAGAGAGAAAAAGGGAAACAAGAACTATATTGATCATGAACACCCAAAGTAGAGGTTGAGCAAGATCCAGCAGATCAAGCACCAACTAACAGATCCTCTTTAACATAACATGCTCCAGAGTGCAAGATGAATCATCCAGAGTACAGGACACTGACTCCTGCTTCTAAAAATGACTCTTCATCAACAGTAACCTGGCAACTTCACTTGCTTTCTGCCACAGGAGAAAAAAACATGCCAGGAAAGTGTGGAGTGGACATAGAGTGATTCCAGGTGCAGTGAGGTCATGTAAAATCTTTATTTGTTCAGCTGCTTTTTAATGCAACTAGGAACCTGTCTGAACTGTCTATATAGGTCAGATTCCTGATCTCTCTGTTGTCCCCCAGATAGAACCAATAGTACAGTGTATACTAACTCTAAAGAATACCAATAGTACAGTGTATACTAACTCTAAAGAATACCAATAGTACAGTGTATACCAACTCTAAAGTACAGATAGAACCAATAGTACAGTGTATACTAACTCTAAAGAATAC